TTTTTTTTTTTTACCCCCAATTTCTAAAAAAATTGGGAAAAAACAGGGGGCCCCCCCCCCCCCCCCCCCAAATCCATGCCGATAAGGTTGGTCAACATTATAGATATATTAAAATGTACATAGCTCTCAAATTGTGAATTGTTTTACTTATTATGACTTTTATATAAGTGCACAGCATACCAGTAGCTTAACATCATGACATTTTTGATAATTGTTTCTTTCTAGCTTTTTTGATCTCTGAGGGCTTTCATTAAGTAATGTTTCTCCTTTCGTCATGGGAATAAAATTGTACATGTAATGTTGGGGAGCTGCTGAGGATCTGGTATACATTATCATATGTTTTGTGTCCATGCGCCAGGAGTTTCATTTGTGCTGAAACTGTTTGATATAACCAGAGAGGCCTGCTTCACAAACCTTTAGTTCTTTGACTAAACTGCCAGAATTGTAAAGTCAATTTGTACACAAAATAAGACTTTATTCAGTCATTTAAATATTTTTATATTCAAATGTAGTAATTAAAGATTCACATGTAACAGATATTGTCCACATTGCGATATTGGTCAAAGAACCCAAAAAATTATTGACCAACAACCCATGTACCTGACATGTACAAATAGTAGAGGGCCAAAGTTAGACAATCGTTTGGGCCAACTAGCCCCGGTCTCCCCTATGCACCAAAGTTATGGAATAATTTTGGCTGATAGTTTTCTTCAGTCTTTCAAACAGCCATGGACCTAATGAGAGATCTCTCATTAGGTCCATGAAACAACCAACAATCAACCCTACGAAAGTACGTTCATGTAGATCAAGAAAATTCTGAGCGTTTGTCGGAAGGCCCATGTCGTCTACATTACATTTTTCTATACACTTAATTTTCAAAAGTCAACCTAACTACCGTTAAGCATCGCTTGTGTTAATAACATTGATCTGTGCATTTACGTATTGAGGTGACGTCATTTCCACGTAAGGCGCAAAACCATCAGTTTCATTAGATGCGGCACCCGACTGGAATGCCACCGCCTCCACAGACAAAGACGTATAAGGTGCATGCCTGTCTAAGGCGGCTGTCTCTGGTGTGGGTTCCGATACCGTGAAGTGATTATCCCGTGCGGCAGGAGTGCGCTTTCTACGGTTTCTGACGTAGGCAACAGCCCCAGCTACTACTACTATGCCACACACACCTACTGCCACCGAAGCAGTGACGACTGTGATGACAAGAACCTGATATTCTAAAATGAATGAAAATCATTAAAATTTTTCAATTTTAAACAGAAACTGTCGATATACTTCATACATTTGAATATTGTTTTGTTCACAAAAATGAAAACACGATTTCACATACATATTTCGAAAACTTTGTAATCTGCATTATTTATGGGATTTATTCATCTGATAGCGATATGGCATTTTTAAAATTACGAATAAATATGTAAACCACATTTTGAGCGAATGCAAGGAATCCTTTCATTTTGCTATATCGAGTTCGGTAATCCAAAATACAATGGGCTTGGACTCCCAAGACGGATGTACGTTGATATCTGTTACATTTAGTCTCTTTCTCATATGCAGACTTAAAATAATATGTGAACCGAGAAACTGCATATCTTGGCTTTCTTCGTCCCAAATGTGCCCATGAAACATAGTGCAGATGCTGAGCTTACTTATGCCCAGATTCGGCCGATTTTATAAATCTGTATCGAAAGGCTCACTAAAAACGGTGCATCAGTGAGACAATGGTTCGGGGCCGTAGTAATTGTCCGAAGGTTCAATAGTTCGAATGTTCACTATAGAACCTTCGGACCAATGAACCCTTGATTAAAAAAATCGATGAAAATGTTACCACTTTTCGGACCAAAGAACCTTCGGACTATCGAGAAGCTCCCAATGGTTCAGTCCCCTTTGAACTACGGTACGTGAGTGGGACATGCAAAACTTACCTTCAGTACACACTGTCATGTCCGCTGAAGGCTGGTAACCCTCGATACATTCACAACCATTCTCCGTGCACGTGCTATGTTGTACTGCCTCACTGCAGTCAGCGTCCCTGTAACACGTTTTGCTCCCTATTTTCCGTTTAACACAGTATTCTTCTCGCACAGAATGAAAACCAAGTGGGCAGTCACAAACTTTCAGATATGGATGGCACTCAAAATTAAGCGTCGAGCCAGCCCTACAGTGTCCGTCGACTGAGCACCGTTTCCTTGTGGTAGTTCTGCATGCTGTGTCATTGGCGGTATCAGCATTTCCCACTTCACAAGGCGAGCAATCCTCGGTCACGTTGCAAGGGGCACCACGAACGGCTACCAAACAGAAAATGTCAGCAATTAGATTAAATGAGGCTGCATGTGAAAGTAAATGTGGCGTTTGAATCCCATTGATTGGCGCGAGACATTCCAAGAAAAAGGGACTGCCTGCTGTCCAAACTGGGCGAAAATTACAGAACATTTTTTTACTTGACATGGTTCACTCGGTGTGCCAAAATAGTACTCAAAATATAAACCACATCAAACCTAATAGCCTATATCTATGATATCTACTCGATATACATGTAAAGTTTTTATTGACGTCTTCTAAGGGCGGACTTACGTGTCAAGCAAGAAGTGTTGACTGCATCTGGTTTGTAGCCAACGGAACACACGCATCTCCTCTGAACACATCTGCTGTTGCTCACCACTGTACTGCAGTCGGTGGTCAAAGTGCAAGCACCGCCTATTTTACCTGTAATAATTATAAAATAAAACACAAGTGAGTGGGTGTTTGACTTATCCTATGTTTATAAAACAACTATCCATGAATGACTTGTAGGATGATCATGTTCTTGTAGAAAAGTTAAGATTGCTAGGTAAACAATAATGATGCCCTTGTATTAATTTTCGGATTTTTAGGCAAACTGAAAAGAAAAAGCACATATAACTAAGAGAAATAATGCAATTTTGTGCAAACAACGTGCATGATAGGGCTTTTACATGTTGAAAAAAAAATTGTCACCGGGTAACAGTACATTTAAAATGAAAAATTTGAATTAGAAAACCCCTCTTTTCATCTCCTTTCATCAACAGTTACGAAGCGAAAACCATCGTAACAAAATCATTCATTTATCTATAAGCCATATTCTGGCAGGGTAGTCGAGAGAATGATCGTTTGCAAGGAATGGGAAAAGTTACTTGTTTCCCATATCAAATCTCATGAGCATTCCCATAATTATGAGTTAAATGATAGCTATCTACAACATTATTTTGTATCCAGGCTCACATTCACAAAATCTATTAGCACTGCAGACAGTATTGGGTTTGCTAGTGCAGCTTACTGCCGCCGCTGGATCACATTCTATAAAACGAAATAATGTACAGGGGAGGGGGGCGGGGTCGTTCCTTGACATGTAAATACTGAAGTGATAGGACAGTTGGTGTATCATGCAAATTTTATGATATCTTTGTATGCACTTTGCATTTAACGATGCAACATAACTCTTAACCTGTCAGTCGATATGTTTCTCTTTCAATATTAAACCGTTAACAGTTCTTCCACATCTTAAATATTCATACCTGGACACCGTTGTAAAGAACATGGTTCCGTATCTGTGTCACCCTGAACATCACTTGGACACGGGAGACCGCCACTGGTTGGTTCTGGGTTGTTGCATAGCCTTCTTCTGCTTTTGGTCCCGTTCTCACACGTGACGCTGCACGCTTCCCAGCTTCCCCAGGGTCCCTAGTTACCATTTGCTAGGGATGGAGAGCCCACATTTATTTATTACAACTCCACAGTTTATATCGTTTATGTTATTAAAAATATATTGTTCCTGAAAACCGGGGATTCTTTTATTGCAAGTGTAAGACATGATAAATGGTAAGTGTTTTCAAAACTAAAAAGAATACTTAAACTGCATGAATTCCTGACACGTAGTAAACGTCCACAACAAATAGACGAAAAGCTATACGTACCTCTTGGTGGAAGAGTCAGATCTTCATCTACTTTTCCATCCCCATCATCTTCAATTGATTTGCAAAATTAGCACAGAGATTAAAAGACGTGAATTTACTTATTCATATTCGTAAAAATATCTATCACAAACCTTGTAAAATTATCTAAAACAAACCTTGCTTTACATGAAGAGTAACTCGATTATTAAAGATAAGATTGCGTTTCATGTGGAAAAAGTCAACAAGATGTGAAACTTACCGTCGATATTATTTTTGATTTCCTCATCTACTCTTCCGTCACAGTCTTCATCAACTTGATTTCCAGCTACAATATTTTGTCCCACAAATGGACTGCACCCCTGAAGGAGTAAAATGTCCTTAACAGTATATAACAAAATTACACTAAAAAGGGAAAGACGATCTTTCTTTTCAACTATTCATTTTAGAGGCAGAAAAGACGACACCATCGATTTATGAGTGGTGCATGTATTGTATTACCCGAATCTGAAAAAAAAAAGATAAACTATTTGGGACAAAAACTTTTCAACCCGAAAGAAGTAACCAACTCACCAATGTATTTTTGGCTACGTTCATCCCTGCAGGATAAGTAACATAGTAGTTACCATTTGAACTAGCATGGAATCCACTTATGAGACTGTAAAAGTTTGCCAAGGGATCAATGCTGTAGATTTCATGAGCTCCAGGTGATACTGGCATCGAACCCACATAATAATTAGTTGACGCTACTCTAGTAAAAGGCAAAGTCAAGGGTTGGCCATCCATCCTCAGTGTGCCAGCATTTATTGTATAATTCGCAACATAGATTGTCATGTGACTGGACATCTCTGCAGCTGTTTGTCCCAATGTGGTGAAGGTATACCTAGATCTGTACTGGTAGACGGGTGGAACTATGATCATGGAGGCATCTATCATATTTGTGGAGGAATCCATGGATTGTGTAAACAAGGCGACTTGAATTGGAGAATCGGACCAAACGCGTCTGAGAACATCACTGTTGTAGTCTCTGACAAAGGTGTAGAATTCGGTCACAAATGTTCTACTTGGGCCCTCACCGGAAATATATACCCTACCTTGATTTGGATGTCTGTCTTGGGACACAATCTTCATTTTATACTTCTGTGAATTAGGTGGAGCAGAAATTATGAACTCTTTGCCCCAAGCATCATAGGGAGTCAACTGTTGAACCAGATGATCGGACGTCAGAGTGCCTTCAATATGTACCTTTTTGCTTCCAGAGAACACAGCAATAGCGCTGTTAGCCACAATCTGAGTGGCGGTGAGATCATCACTCTGGAGGTGAAGGGTCTGGTACCTTGACATGGTCACTGTGAACTCGGCATAATTAGTATGCGTTACACCGTTGAAGGTAACGGTGTTACCGCGTCTGCCTGGCAGCTTAATTGTAACTTCGGTACAGTCTTGAGTGGAAACCACGAGAACCTGTCCTTGGTTTGTCCATGTAATGGCGGAATAAATTGAACCAAGGGCAGTCAAAGGTATGGCAGTGAACGCATCTCCAGACCCCTGTTCCTGATTCAGACCATACAGTGAAATGGGTTGGGTAGACATGACGTGAATACCCTTGTTTTCCACCTGACTGCCTGTGGCTTTGAAGTTCGCTGGTATGGAGACTCTCACACTCTGTCCCCTTGATACCTGTGCTGTTTTACGAAAATTGGTATCTTGTTTCGGAGCTGTGACAGTGACTTCTGCCGGTGTGTTAGACCCAGTCGTCATGTACAGGTACATATCACGACCATCACCATAATCATTGTTCATAAATCCTACATAAAATTCAGTTCCTTCATTGCTAAAAGAAGCTGCAAGACAAATAATAAATGCATTGATGAGTCCATTCCCTTAATTATCTCCCTGTACTGACGAAAACACTAAGCCCTGCAAATTTTGAATGCTCATACATGTAGTTAACAAAGTAGTTGTAAGATTAGAGTTTTAACATAAACCACTCTGATATGCTTCTTTATGAATGCCAAATTAAGTTATGGGTACAAATATACTCAAAGAGATTCCATAGAGTGTTATCCTCAATGTGTATTTTTATGTGCCAGAATATTAATTAAGATGATAGTTTCATATCAAGACATCGTCTTCTTATCATGCGGAGTTAAATGATGGAACCGTGCCATATACATTATTTTTGTTAAAGCAATTTATCAAATTTGAAAAGCACATACGCAACTCCTTTTCATTGTTTCATAAGTCTTGACATAAGGGCCTATCGCCAAATTCACCGTCAAACGTTTGACTGAAATTTATGTTATTATTGTAGACAGTACTAACACCTTTTTTAATACTTCAATTTAACTTGCTTTATATGGCGCTCAAATTCCAGTTCAATATTTCTTATGATCTTATATGTTACAAAATTTATTTTATTATTTTTATTTACTGCTAGATTTGACCTTTTTACCTATGACTTTGGATCCTATAGACATTACAATTATCAGATAGATCAACCAATGGGCACGAGACGCCATGGTAGGAGCCGATGGCAACAGCGAACGTGGACGATATCAGTGTTGTAGGGGAAACTGTAAAAAATCAAGAAAACTGTACTGTACATATTAGAAAAAATATCTGGGCGTTTTGTTTTTACGTGTTTAGGCTGTCTACCGCTCAACTGTACTTGCAAAGCTTATTTTGTGTTTTTCAAAGAAAGCTTCTTATACACAATGGAAGAAAAAAAGATAACCAAGGCAAAATGCACTCAAATAAAAACAGAAAAGGCCGGACCTTGAAAATCTGAATGGAGTCATGCTTGGTTTAATGTTCATGTTTTAGATATTGAACAGTATCAAGATCGTTCTTCATAAAAACCGTCCTGTGTTATGTACATGGACATAACTTTATTTAGCGGCAAGTTATCCTTTGAGCTTCGTGTCATAAATTATAATTGAGCAAATACTTAAAGCTTGTAAACAATATAGCGCCATAAGAACACTCTAGGGTCGCATTCACAACAGATGATCCTCTGATCTACTATTCTGCGGTTCAGTATGGTGGGCCCTACATGAAAGCAAGGCCTCCTAATCCCTAAACGGTCCACCCGTCTCCTCACGCGCCTTCCCTGCTGGAACCGAGCAATTTAAACTCGAAGCCGAAATGTAATCCGTGTGAAGGCGGGGGGACCATTAAAGGATTAGGCGGTTTTGCTTTCATGTAGGGCCGCCATATTTGATCCTCGGACCAGTAGATCGTAGAATCATCTGTTCTGAATGCGACCTAGGACTAATGCTACGTTTCCAGCCAAAGTGGGTCGGCCTGTTTAAGAACGACCCATCTGACCGTTCACTGCTAATGCTGTTGAGGCTAGGATCCAAAATATTTTGGATCTTAGGTTGAGGTAAGTCGCCGCTAGCTCGGCTACCCATTGTGTTTCTTTTGGTCATGAGAGACAGCTGAGATGTGTCGATCCAACTTGACTAAATCAGGCCCGTAGCCAGGGAGGGGGTTCAGGGGGGGGGTCGAAAGAACCCCATTTTTTGTTGAGCAAAGGCCTCCTCTATAGGTACAATTTTATCTAAGTACACGGAGGTTTCATTGTAAAAGGTCCACTTTTTCAGAAAAAGATCCCCCTCTTTGAAAGAGTTGCCTACGGGCCTGTAAATATACATTATTTGTACTTAACCATTCATTGTGATTAAAACGGCGTTCTGTTATTTACATCGGCTAGCATAGTAGCAATATTATCTGTTAAGCCTCGGTCACAACCGGCCGCACGGGCTCTTACGGGCTGTTTGCGTCCAAATTTTGTGCAGAATCTCACGTCCCACGCAAGTCCTTCTTAAGAAATTTGGAGTTCGCAGACAGCCCGTAAGCACGTACGGAGGATGTTGGACATGTCCAAAAGATTCTACGAATAGCCTGCGAACAGCGAGGCCGCAAGCGTAACTTGTTCCCCTCGCACGGAGTTAGCAAGAGAGACGCGCGTTGTGCGTGTTGAGTAAGGCGCACGCCCTCAAAACTAACGGACATAGTCGAGAGCACACCGGGAATGCGACGCACGTGCGTCACCTCCACGCCTGGTGTTCACGACGCACGCTCATGTCTTTACAGTGAACGTCGACTGTGTAACGTGTACAACAATTTTCAAAATTTTAAATTTTTCCTCAATTAAGTTTCTAATATGCCTCAAAAAGGCAAGAGAAAGAAGCTTACATAGTAGAAAAGGGGAGGAGGAAGAAGAAAGAAGAGGAGAACAGGAAGCAAAACTGACGTACGTCGTCAGTACGTCACCACAAACGTGTGAGGCAAGTGTGAAGCAAAACTGACGCAAAAGGGCACTACTTTCGCCGTGCGTTGCATTCCCTTCGACGAGTGGTGAGTGTATGCTGTAGAGCCGCATTTTGCAACCGACCGCATTTTGCAACCGGTTGCAAAATACGTTCAGTTGCAAAATGCGGTCCTACTAAGTAGAGCCGCATTTTGCAACTGAACGCATTTTGCAACTGCAACGCATTTTGCAACCAAAGCAAATCGTGAAAACGCACTTATGCAACTGCAACGCATTTTGCAACCAGGATTTTTTTCTAAGTCCTTGAAACAGCTTGAAGTTCGAGACAGGTAGAATTGGAGTGGGGACGGGTTTGCTTCGACTATGTATGCTGAAACTGGCCAGGCTGCCCCTGGGGTGGACGAAAATATAAAAACTTATTGCACATTGTAATTTCCTAAACCATTAGAGTTAGGAACTCTAAACGTTAATAAACATTTTGTTAGGCATGTGCATGGGATTTCGGATTTTTTGTTTTTTTTTTTGTTTTTTTTTTATTGGGGGTGTGGCCGTCCCTAGGGGTGGTTGATTGTAATTTTTACTTCGTATTTTTCTCCTATCTACCCTTATATCTTCAGAATTAGGAAATAAACGTTGGGGATTAACACACTAACGTAAGAAATGTGCATGGGCACTTCGGAAATTTATTGTGACATGGGTGTGGCTGTCCCTAGGGGTGGTTGAGTCTAATTTTACAACGTATTTTCTGCTATCTGCCTATTGTATCGGCCATTTGAGTTAAAGCATGAAACTTAGCTACATTATAATTTGGGATGTTGAATGGCATTTAATTTTTTTGACTTAGGGTCTGGTCCTGGGGGTGGTTGAATATAATTAGACGTAGTAATTTCTGCTATCTACCTTTAGACCATATAAGTTAGGAACGGAAGGCTATGGGAATTGAAAACATGTCTTTAGAGATATGGATCCTTCTGGGGTATTGATGGGTGTGGCCGTCCCTGGGGGTGGTTGATTCTATTTTTTGCACCGTTACTTCTACTATCTACCCTTAGAGTTAGGAACATGAAATGTTGGGGATTGATAATGAATGTACATGGGTCTTTGAGGAATGTAGAGAACAGCAGCGGCGCACATAGCACTAAACGGACTTACAGGCGTAGGCATGAATATAGGTCAAGGAATCCAGTTAAAGCTGTTCTTTTGACCCATGCCAACCATAAGGCCCTACACACTCAGGAATCCTGGCGTTCAACTAGCCGTTGTGTCTTAATACAAAACAAATATGTTAATTAATCATAAATAGTAATTAGCATGTGTGTTGCTCTACAGAGGCTATGCCTGAAAGTATGGGGTCTTGCATGGGTTTTTAATTAACTTGACCTATATTCAAGCATACCGCTGAAGGTCTGTTATTAAGTGCCGTCTGCTGCGTTCTTTGCATTCCCCTTCCTTCTTAACTCGAAGACAGCTTTCATATTCACACATCCTACTATCTGGGTCGGTCCAACTCTGCAGGGGATCTCACTTAAGTGCAATCAGTGGAATCAGCTTAATTGTCTGACATACCACCAATCACCCCATCCATTGAAGAACCGTCACATCCAAAGTCACACTAAAATTCCCCTGTACCCATGCACCAAAGACTCGTGCTCCTAACTCGAATGGTCGAGAAGGAGATGAAAGAAATTACGGTGAAAATATTACAGTCAAGTAACTATCCCCAGGGACGGCCATTCCCCAAGTGACCAAAAATTCCTATGTGCCCAAGCACATCTCTAACGATCTCAACCACCCCCAGGGACAACTACACCCCAAGTCACAAAAATCTGGAGTGCCTACGCACATTTCTTACGATGGTATTAATCCCCAACGCTTTTATTTCCTAATTCTACAGATATAAGGGTAGATAACAGAAAATACAATGTAAAATTACAATCAGCCACCCCTAGGGACGGCCACACCCCTATGTGCATGCCTAACAATATCTTTTTTACTCCCTGGCGTTTCAACCTCCTAACTCTAATGGTTTAGGAAATTACAATGTGAAATAAGTTTTATATTATCGTCCACCCCAGGGGCAGCCTGGCCAGTTTCAGCATACATAGTCGAAGCAAACCCGTCCCCACTGCAATTCTACCCGTAGCCTACCTGTCTCGTACTTCAAGCTGTTTCAGGGACTTAGAAAAAAATCCTGGTTGCAAAATGCGTTGCGGTTGCAAAATGCGTTTTCACGATTTTCTTTGGTTGCAAAATGCGTTGCAGTTGCAAAATGCGGTCGGTTGCAAAATGCGGCTCTACAATGCCACGTAGGGGCCTACACAGGAAGCAAGACAAACTCAAGAAATTCCAAGTACAATTTCCACGGCCATCGCTCCTTGCAATTAGCGTCCCTGCTTGAAAGGACATCTCATGTGGCCCTTGCGACTCGCAAGGCAGTCTTTCCTGTACCTCTACGACCTCCACGGCCTCCGCAATTCCCAAAAATCGCAGGGGACATACAGTCCTGAAATTCGTGCGTCCGGTTGTGACCGAGGCTTTATATATATTATCAGTTATATCATCTGAAATAAAAGCTTACTTTTTAAAACTTGATTTTTGTACCTTGAGATACATTGGCGTGTCCCATATCCAGCTTCGATCTCCTCACAGGTATATTTATTTTACTTCCGCGTTAATAACCCCCAATATGACTGCAGAATAATGGACAGCATACAGGTAGAATAAAGGCTTTTTTCGTGCATGTGAAGAAAGACGTGTTTACAAGCGATTGAAAAGCGCACAGCTGTTTTTCGATCTATTAAAAATAGGATGATGTGTGCATAACCTTCATGATCAAGATTTAGAGGGGTCAATCATGAGGACATGATAATAATAATAATAATAATAATAATAATAATAATTATTATTATTATTATTATTATTATTATTATTATTATTATTATTGTTGTTGTTGTTGTTGTAAAAAGAATAATGAATGAATGAATTAATTAATTGATTAATAATTAAATAAGTAACTGACAAGCACATGCACTTTCAAGTTAGCTGCGAAACGTATACAGTAGCACCCAAACCCAAATAGAGGTGCATTTCACATGCTGAAGTGTCCAAAAAATAAAACTGAATGAATTCAAAGTTGTATTCATATTTTAAAACATATACGTGTACAAAACAAAAATCCACGTCTGTCTTAATTTTAATTTAATTTTTAATTTTTACCATGTCTTTACATTGAACCCTAAATGGTTACCTTACGTTCCGGTAACATATGGTAACGTATGGCCATTTAATTTTAATTTTTATACCGCGTTCCGATACATCTTGTAGTGTTTCAGTCATGGTATATTATACAGGACGTAAGGATGTTTTTATAAATATTTAAACTGTAACTCAAGGGCTTTGCGTCATGGCTAATACTACGTAACGTATGTTCCCCAGAAAAATTGTCAGATGCAAAGCCGACCCCCCCCCCCCTCCCACTAGAGGATCCCGAAAATATTTAGTATTTTAGAGGGCGAATGGTGCCATTTGTCACGGTTAAGTACTATGATTCAGTTAGTCAAACCTTTATTTTCACGAGGGGACCATTGGTGTGATTTTTTTCAGAAATAGAAGGGTGGGTCAGGACCCCACTGACACCCCCCCCCCCTAAATCCGCCACTGCATTTTGTCCAAGTACTTAGTGCAATAGAAAACAGTGTTTTCTGTTGTTGACCGAAAAATATATTGTGATTCCATGATAGTTTGACATTTCTGATATAATATTTGGATCACGGGTGGAAAATAGTTTATTTAAAGGTACATATGAACCGAGCATCAGTTGAGCGTGGATTCCCAGTAACACATGTAAACCACTTCTACTAATTTCTTATACGACTCAAATAAATTCGACATGCCAAGGGATAAACTAAACAGATCACTCAATCAGTCATAAAAGAGCTTTAGACTGCTCCTTTCTTCAAATTTTTGGTCGGAAATTTAACCTACTTTCGTGACCTACTTTTCTGTCCCATTGACATATATACAGCATAGAATGCTAGCAGAAAAATCCGTTCAAACATTATTTTCAGGCAAAATTAAACAATGCCTTTTGGTAATTCTCTTAGTTATACTACTTGAAACTATGTGCTGGCATTCGGTCGGTTTTGAGACAAAAAATTGACTTTGCATGTATGCATCTTTAATGCCTAGGCCCTATTTTCCTGTCGGTAGGGTGTATTTCCCCCGTTCTTTAAATATTCAGTGGCAAGCAAAGTCAATCAAAAACAATAAACTGCTTTATACAGAAGATTATCAAAATTTTTTACAACGTTATACTTGTAGGAGATAAATCAAAGGACAAAACCAGTGATGATTGAATTTTCAAAGTGAGTAAAACGTTTCACAGCTGGACGTTTTGCATTTGTGATAGTAATGTATTTTCCTTTTTGGGGCTACACGATGAATTATTTTTTTTAATCATGGATCCAGGAGAGTGAAACTTTGATACAAACTTCTTCACGTGGAACATATCAAAACCTGTAGGAAAATTGGGCAGTTCAAGGACGGAAAATCTGAAAGATTGCCCACAAAGCCAAGGAACAGCCATAGGCTACTTATTTCTGCAAACCCATTGTAGATTTTCAATTTTACAAAAGTTTTATTATCCTAAACATGAAAATCGTTCAAATGATTTTTTTACACATGTTGACTATAACTCAGGCACAAATGATGTGACTGAGAAAGTTTTTGTCATAAAATTACTCCATTATTCTTCAAGTTACAAGTTTACAAACGTGTTAATAATAACCGTTTTTAGTATATTCACTTTAGTTTATTGTGACAACATTTGTTGTTGTTTATTTTACAAAATACTTTATAGTTGTTTCTAACAAAATAAGTAGTTTTTATGGCGTGAGTAGTTTTAACTTTAGTAAATTCACGGCTGAGCCAAAACACACTTTGACTGAAACCTCTGTTTAGGCTCCTCTTGAGATTGCTATCGAATGTAATCGTTTGCTCTTTGTTGTGTAGAAATTGTTGTAAACAAATGGACAGGTCTCAACGTTTGAAAAGATATTTATCTCATTTCGCAAAATTATTCAAACGTTAAAGCGCAGAGAATGAAGTGAAAGTTTGGTAAGTACTCTAACAATTGAGGTGCAGTTTAAGATAATGAAAAACCACTTTCACATGAAGATGTATTGCAATAAACAAGCTTATTGATTTCTTTGGCTTTGCTCTCCACTTTGTAAACATGCCTTAATTCACTTTCTACTGAAATTATATAACTGTTAGCAGAAAATTGTATTTTAAACGCCCACAGTATTAATCAGCATGAAATAATTTATACCTGTCTTCAATATTGCTTCAACTATTGATTTGCTGGTCCTCTTTGCTTTACCTGTCATGTTATTTCAACATGAAATTTGTTCATTATGTAGGGGATGCTTTATCGATTTTGGCATTGATCCCAAGGCATATACTCATTATAATTGTTTTTTTGCACAACAGGAATTTTTTTAAAATAAAATTATTATATTATATAATTATAATTACATAATTATATTTTTAGACCTTTTGTGCTCTAGATCTTATGGTCTTAATACCTTAGGCACTACATCCGTGCATCTAAAGATCATCGACAAACTACAAAACAAACAAATCACACATTTTATGGGCCTTGGCCCAAGATCTCATACATTTTACAAGCATAAGCTATTCATAAGTGTGGTCATGGTGTCACTATATCAACAGTATCGTTATTTTAACCTGACCATATTTTAGAATGATTTTATTATGTATATTATTAGAATGGTTTTATTATGTAAATTATGTGTGTTTTTTTATGCTTGTAATCTTATATGCCTTTCACACTTGAAGTGATAATAAATGAATAAATAAATGAATAAATAAATAGAGTTAGAACTGGACATATGATTAATTGTACCTAGTCAATGTGGCAAATGATGTGACATGCAAAGGGTGTCTATTGAGACTTCTTTTAGCATTCCTTATTTCATATTTTCTGTACGGTTGTCCTTCATACATCATGTAGTACTTAGTGAATATATAAGAAATTAAAAAGTGTTACAATGCACTGGCAATTAAGTTGACCTAATTATCATTTCCACAAATAAGTAATAATAGTGTATTCTCTTTGGCCAAATAGATATTCCCATGACATATTTGAGATGGGGAAGCCAGGTAACAGTATATCCACTCTGCGAAAAAGGAGGAAAACAAGAGGTGACCATGACAGTTCTGCTCCACCAGTAAAAAGAATTGTTTCCACTATTGTTGAAGAAGAAGAAATCAGTGAGCTCCCATTAGCTGATGGCCCAAGGACATTCTCCATGTTACAGAGAGCTATTTCTTCTAAGAAAACACTTTTTACAGGTATTTGCCATTTGAAAATTAAAGATGCTACTCAAATTTATAAAAAAAATTTAAAAACATAACAAGATAAAGAGCAGGTTGAGTAAGACTTATATTGGATTTGTTTAGTAAATTAAAGTAAAAACATTAAGTCATGTTTATGTGCTACATTTTTAGAGATGTAAGGCATCACTGCAAGTAACAGCTACTTAATTCATTATGATATTGCATTGTAGGTCTGTTGCTGTTCAGGATATTTAATGCGACCCTGGTGCAGACGTACTTTGTTCCTGACGAATATTATCAGTCAGTGGAGGTGGCACACAACATGGTCTTTGGATATCCTTAAAAAAATTGTATTCAAGTATTGAAATCAGAATCTCAAGTTGAGTAATCTCAATACGTTTCCAAATGTGATTTTCCAAAATTTGATTTTCGTGTTGGCCCCTTTGATGTAAGCAGTTTATTGTATGTTACAAATTACAGCAAAATTGGGATGATGTATTGGTTGTGTCAGTTTGGGCAGAGGTGCACATTTATTTTCAAATAAGTCTTTGAATTGAGTTGGTTCTCCTTGACATTATACTTATGGTCTCTTGACTTGGGAATGGAAGGAAGGTCTGCGAGGCTACACTTACCCACTCATCTTTGCTGCTTTGTACAAAGTTTTGGCACTCTTTCATTTGGACCATAGGTCGCTCTTAGTAAGTATGCATTCAGCCTGATACATAGATGTAAAAAACAGCTTTCTGTACTAATCTCTCACCATCTGTGTAGCATAGTACAATGATGTTGCAAGTGACGTTTTCAGGATTAAATATAATGGTATCCATCTCTTGTTAAAAGTACACATGTAATAATGCTGTAGAAAATTACCCTAACATTATTGATGTTTGGAGTTCATGTTGCACTACTTCTAGATAAAGCTCCCCAGGTTACTACAAGCTGTATTTGCTGCCATTGGTGACTACCATCTGTTCAAACTTTCCAATCATCTGTGTGATAAAGCCACAGCACAGTGGGCTCTGCTGTCACAACTCCTGTCCTGGTTCACATTTTACTGCTGTACTCGTACCCTGACCAACTCTGCCGAGGCTGTACTGACCACTGTGGCATTGTCCCACTACCCATGGCCCGGGCGAATAAGGTAGGAGTCTGTTTTCTCTAAGGATTCAGTGGATTATTTTAGGAATTTATGGGAATAAAAGTGAAAATATAAAAAGGATTAATTTTAAAATGCAAACTGAGATTTTAAAGGATGTTTTATCGGGATATTGAAATTTATTATTTTAAAAATAAACAGAAATGGAAATTTTGCTGTGCAGGTTTAAAAGTTAAACAACTAGACATTGAAATGAGGCCTGCTTAGATTTTATGTGACATTCTTGTCATATTGTTTGAGTAACATACGTACATCAGTATATAAGAGTGGCATAATAGCACAGTACTTCATTACTGTCTGTAGTGTTCTGATCACTTTTTTTTCTTCAGTCCACCATTATGGAAGTTTGTGAGCTTGGTGGTAGCAGCAGTGATCATCCGCCCAACTGCTGCCATCATGTGGGTGCCCATGGTTGCCTGGCATCTGTGGAGGAAACAACAATCTCTAGTTGATGTTTTGAAAACCTACATATTAGTGGGGTAGGTGTTGGGAAATGGTGGACAGTTAATTTTTTGCTGCCCTAACCAAGCAGAAGTAAATTGGTGAGTTAGGGCAGCTGAAGTGTATTTCAAACCACATGCATTGATCATTGCAAAAAGTACTTAGTTAGATGTTTTAAAAGTTTACATGCAGGTTATCTTTGAAATCAGGTCATTTAAATACATGTAAACCTGTACTTATATTATGGGTTGTTTCAGGGTCTGTGGTCTAGGCTTGTCTCTTTTGATAGATGGCAACTTCTACGGCAAGTGGACTATGGTGCAATACAATTTTCTCCAGTTTAATGTCATTAACAATATGGGGTCCTTCTATGGCTCTCATCCCTTTCATTGGTACTTCACTCAAGGGTTTCCTGCCATTATTGGACCACATATTGTACCTTTTGTGATAGGGGTATGGAAGGCCAGAGATAAACGACTGTTTTATTTGTTACTCTGGACATTAATTATTTATAGGTAAGTATACTTTGTCATTTTATGGAAATTTTTTTGATTTTGATGTACAGTAGCAATTTTTTTCACAAAACAAACATCTGTGGATCATTTGACGGATTTTCAGTTTTGGACTTTAGTTTGTCATTTTTATTTTCTCTTTTCAAAACTTGGATGTGGTTACATTGGCAGTCTGCTCTTTCAACAAATGATTTATTGGTCTTTTAGCTTCCTTTCCCACAAGGAGTTCCGGTTCATCTATCCAGTATTACCCCTTGCTATGCACTATTGTGGAATATGCCTGCACCAGCTCTGCCTGCCAGTGGTACTTAAATCTCGAAAAGAAAAGAAAAAGAAGGTGAAAGCGCAGGCAAATAAAGAAGCTGCAGAAAAAGCAAAAATGGATCCCAATTCTTTTCTTGCCAAAGACGTATCTGATTTATCAATAGGGGAGAATGAGGGTGGGACTGCTGCAGTAATGGAAGACACTAGTACTGGATATAGCAGTACAGGATATAGTAGTAGGGATGATAGTGATATTGGAATGGGAAGCAAACTGAGGAAGGAAGAGGAGGAGAGAGCAGAAAAATCTAACAAAGAGGAATCTGTGGGAAAAACCAGACCAGAAACTTCTGGAGATGAAGTAAAATCGATAGATGATAAACATATATGCAGAGATTCTGAAAAGAATGGTGCAAATTCTGTAGAGCCATACTCAGAGGAGGAACCAGCAAAGCTTGGTAGTGGTACTCACAAAAAAGGTCCCACCAGAGCTCACATTGCTAAGGCAATCACTTTATTCCTGTTGGTCTTTAATCTGCCTATAGCCCTGTACACTGGGCTGATACACCAGAAAGGAACCGTGGATGTTATGAAGTTTGTGTATGATTCCTCCAGAAAAGTGGACCACCTGGATGCCCTATTCTTGATGCCCTGTCATTCCACACCATTCTACAGGTAAGAGTGGTATGTGATTAACAGAGATATAATTATTTGTATTATTTTTTTTATTTTTGATTAGGTATGTTGATTGAAAGTTTGTATCTCCGCTACAATCTTCTTGTTTAAAACATTAAGGAATAAGACAAAAATTATTGGGTGTTTTAAGATGTCTTGTAAATGGCAACCTTATTTTTTTATTTATTCATGTGAAGCTGAAAAAAAAAACGGTTCTGTTTCTATTTCAGCTACATACATGGAAATGTGACCTTGAATTTTCTCACCTGTGAGCCCAACCTGCAAAACATTCCCAACTACCTTGATGAAGCCGATATATTTTATCAGAACCCGAAGGAGTGGTGGAAAACAGAATATCTTGACAAAAACTCCTCTTTACCCACCCATGTTGTGATGTTCAGCGAGTTGCACCAGAAACTGGACGTGTTCTTAACAAGGCAGCATTACAGAGACTGTGGGCGATTTTTTCACACACATTTTCCAGAAGGGAGAGTTTCGAGTCATGTGAATGTGAAATGTAGGAAATACTAACATTTTTTCCCCAAGTACAATGTCAGTTCTATTATTTTGGACACTTGATTTACAAGTTTTGAAATATTTTAATTGTTGGTAATCTAGTCATTTCTATTTATTTATTTTTTCGTTATGGTATTTTTTTACACAAGTGAATTTTTATCTCCTTTCATCATGAATTGCTTTAACAATACTTCTTGGATTTTTTTTAGTATAGGTCTTTGTGTAATATTTTGTAGTTTTTAATCAGGGTAAAATTACAAGAGTTGTGGATTCTTAGCTTGGATTGGATAATGTTTTTTTGAACTTTGCAAAACCTGCAGTAAAATTTCACATGAATGCAATCTGGATTTCCCCAATTTAACACCATGTAGATTCTCAACATATACAGTTTCCAACGTTTTTTTTTTCTTTTGTTTTTTTTAACACATTATCTCAAGTTTTATGTGCGTCTCAGATGGCCTGCTTAAAAGATTTAGATAATTTTGTCACCAACAGTATAAAAAGCTTAATTAAAAACAAAAAAGAACAAATATTGCCGTAGAAGCAGTTTATTGCCATTTAGCTTTTTTTTCCTGGAGGATCCTGCACAATTCATCAGATCAACCCACTTCAAAACAGTTAATTCCTAAATACATATAATTTGTAACAGGTGGACCACTGTATGCATAAATCTACTGGTGGGACTAGTTTTTACATCTTGGTAACTAGCACAGTTTTTTTTCTCAACAAATGATCATTTTCTGAACACACTTTGATGATAAAAAGCATGAAAGTCTTTTCCATAACTAAGGTGACAATATGCATGCCACAAGTTTCCTGGTTCATACCATAGGAAAACTATTCAAACCAGGAAAAAGTATCTCGCTTTAAATATTGAAACTTTTTTATGTGTGTGTGTGATGACCTTTAAAAAGTGTCATGCAAGAAAAACAATTGGATACCTTATTGTGTGTTTAAAACTAAACAGAGGTTAAAATGTGGTTTGTATAGCAAAGTCTACAAAAGTAAAATGCTCCAAAAAACATTCCTCTGAAACAAACAGCTCACTACAAATATATCAACCAATATATAAAAAACCTAAGAGTGCAATAAAATGAATTAAGACCAAAACGGACACCTGGACTTGGTTATTTGTATATCAAAATCTGCACTGAGCAAGGGCATAAGGGTGGAATGAGATTTAAATGCACTGTGTAGTAATGCTATGTATGCTAAAGCAAGCTGTTCAAATTTCATTCCAATCTAAATAGTACAGTCGATTCTTATAAGCCAGTCAGCACAGCATATTAATACACACACCCAAATGTGGTCATAATGATTTTAATGGGATTCCCTTAGATGCTAAATGATGTTTTATCATTCATTTTAGTATTAAATTTCACAAACAACTTTAACAGTCCTAGTTAAATTATCAAGCCAAAAGATTTAATAATAGTAGTACAAAACATACCTGTTCATGATCAGAATGCCTGTAAAAAATGCTGCCCAAGCTGCCTTGATTCATAAAACACTGAAGGATGATTAAAAACTACAAGGATGACTTACAACTACTCTACATAAATGTAACTCGATTTGCCAAAGGACATAATTATATACATATACTTAATGTGTAAACATTAAACTGATCATCAAAAAATCAGTGGTGCCTATGAATTTGAACAATGACTACGCTTCTATGCTCAAGAATCCCCTTGCTGTATCAGACTTTTACATCTGAGATTCAAGGACTACACGTTTAATGTTTTGTACAACAATCCTTTCATAAATATAAAAATAAACACCCTAATGTATACAAGTGATGTGATTACTCTCTTTTTAAAATTTATCGTAATTTGTTATTGCTTACAATATATGATAATAACAACTGATAGTTGTGATAGTAGAGAGGTCTATATGTTAACAATGAGTAAGATCAGCAATGGCTTTGTAATGCATTACAGGTTCATTTTACATGAAAAAGTTAACACTATACAAGATTAACAATATAATTTGGTTAAGAATTAAGTAGACTACATTAATAAATACAATTCAGTCACTAACCACACTATAATTCTTAAAAGTCTACAAGTTGAGCACTTCAAAAGTTCAGGTAAAGCCATACCATGTCACTTCTGCCAAAGGCTAACAGGCATTTTTTTATTTCCAATGGCCCTAGCCAAGTCAAATATGCAAAAAACATTAAGTAAACCTTTCATTGGAAACTGAGCCTTGTTCACCGGTTTCCATTCCAACTTAATTAATTGTCACCCAGGCCATGACATGTTCATTTCTTTTCAAAATAAAATATGACATGTCCTAATTCCAAGGCCTCTTGCAGTCAACTTCTGCTATGGAAACTTGATATCAAGTTCTTCTTCAGAATCCCCATCAAGCATGCAATTTTGATAAGCACTGGTAAGTGAAGGGCCATGCCAAAAGAAAAATAAAAAAGGGCATTGACTCTTTGTATCTGCTTATAGAACAGAGGACATAATGAGATATATAGTTGATTTATCTGCGATTCTTCTCTACTATTTACAGAGGTTCATATGTTATATGAATTGTCAAGAGGTATAAATAGGAACTCACTACAAAAGGGTCTAAGAACATACAATGTTTGGCATTTCAACACAAGACTTCAGTCGGGTAAGTCTCGACATAAAATTAAGTACTAATGGTCAAGTATGATACATGTGTGTGTGTATATCTATATATATGTATATATCACAGATACTAAGAATCTGTTCATATCTGTCCCTCTCATTCTATAAAAACTCCTTTGATGCAGGGTCATGTCTGCTTACACCATAGTGCTCCACTACAGTCCTTATCGCCTTTTCCCCCCATCATCTCAGTACAGAGGCTCTAGTAAGACGAGTATGATGACCTGAGCGACTGAAAGAGAAGAATAAAAAATATATACATAATATCTTTAAAAGACTACAGTTTGATTAGAAAAGGCCTGTTAACTTGCGTCCTAAAATCAACTGTTTACAGTACACACTCAAGTTCACATCAGACAAGCAAGAACCACAATTTCTTAACAGTATGTATGTTGCAGTAATGGTTAGCACCCCACTATGTCTAGGAGTAAATTTAGGTGGCTCCTTACCATCCAAGCAGTTGCAGAAGCATTATCATGGTTAACTGTGATGCACATTTTGAAAGCAGACAGGCCATTAATAACATTGTCTAACAAAGGTAAAACCCCATCAAAATCCAAAACCAGTATTTTATTTCATTCTCAACTACATTGCACACTTTCACACCAGCTTGCCTACACAACACAAGAATCACTTACTGTGGAATAATTAGACCTATAATTTTTCAATGCAGAACTTGCAGATGAGTTTGAATGATCTCCAGTACTTTTATAGATATCACTCGATCTGGTGTAATATGGTTCTCGACCATTTAGATCCCTTGCCTTAGAACTTAGGTAATCAGAGGCATATTCTGATGCAAGCCGAGATGTGCTGTTGAGAAAAGGAGACAAATGGAAGAGTTTTGGGTTAGAATTATTGTTAAGGTATCAAATTTCAAAATGTCCCCATTCAAAGACACATACCTGTACATTCTCCTTTACACAGGTAACAATCTCACTCATGCGCACTAATGTATACTGACAGAACAGATAACCCAGCTACACATGCACCCAAGAACAAGACAGTGCTACAGAGAAAAAAATAGATAATGTTAAAGTGTTAAAAAAGATGTGCAACAGGACAGAAATGAAAGTTTTTTTAAGAGAGCAAACCTTGAATGTTTTACTTGTTTTCTGTAAATCATGATTTCCCAAACTAAGTCTTCATTGAGCCAAAGTCCATTTTTGTGTCTTTTCTCTTTTATCATTGTTAGTGTTTATTCTTTTGAAAGACTTTTTTTAATCGTTTGTCAAAATATATTTTTATTTCAATTATGGTGTTTCAAATTCATTACAATAGCACTATGCTTCAAACAGACAAGGTTTGGTGTGATAATATTTAGCTACTACAACGAATAAGAAAATTATTTCATGCAAACTTGTTTTCATTCCTCAGTCTTTCAAGTCATTCACCATGCAACCATCCTCAAAATTTTTGCATACTGAATTAATGACAATATCTTTTTTAATCATCACAAAACAAGAATGAATCAAATTGTCATTTCTTATTCATGTCTGGGCTAATTTTGGGGGGGATAAGCTAAGGAAACAAAAAAATACAGGGTAGGGGATTGTGCATGGAAAAAAAAAGCTTAGCAGAAAGCCAGCTTCAAGCACTGTACGTCATTGGATCAAGATTTTGAACTCCTTTATCATCCCCTCTGAAAAATTTTCCTTTATGTAAATCATAAAATAATACAGACCAGAGCCTACTCCATTTAACACCAGTTTTAGAAAAAAAAAAAGACTTGCACTGTGCTAAAGAAAAGCGAAAAAAAAAAAAAAAAAGAATACAACTGTAATTTTACTTTCCATCTCCCTACCTCTTAAGTACACTTGATGTTCCTGCAGAAGATGAAGTGGAATGTCGTGTGACACGTTTCACACTGGGCGCACTGGAGTGAGCATGGTTATGGGAGGCGATCTTGGATGATTTCATGGGTGACATGACACTCTGGGCACTCTTGGAGGAAGCCACAACTCTAAAGGGTTGAGTGGTGGACCTTTTGTGGACTTTGCCATCATCAAGCCTGGAGAAGAAGGAAACGAATCCTGTAGATCTAAACATTCAAATTTTCAATATTTTTATTCATATATATCAAATCATTATATCTTATTATATCCAATCATGATTAATATGCATTTTTTAATCATATGATATCAAATATAATTTTTACCACTAACATTACTTGCCCCTTTCTTTCACATCACTTTATGACTATGATCAACATGAAAACAAGATCCTCATTGCATTAAAAAATTAAAATAATGAAAAAGAGGGAAAATTTGAAATTATAATCTTATTAATAGTTCTTCTTCTGTTAAATGATAATAATCCACTCACGCCAATGTCCCTGTGGTTGCAGATCTTGGGTGTTGTCGTAGGAGTTTCAGCTGGTTGAGACGGTCCCCCTGGGTCATAATCTTACCACTTCTGGTGGCAGGACGACCTTCATACTGCAAACAAACAGTTGCCAGAGTGACAGTTGGTCTACAAATACTTTTTTGGAGAATGTGCTGTTGTCAACAATGCAAATAAGGTTATACTGAATCTTATGCAATGGGCATAAATGTATAACTATTTTCATAAGTAGTGCATCATTTTCTGATGACATATTGCTGTTATGATATTAAACTTGTCACAAAAAGTAAAATACAATTGTGACAAAAGTTTGACACAAGGAGTTCCATTTAGGAGAAGTCTTCCCTATTCAAATCTTAAAACACATTTATTGTTATCCTGGTAGAAACCCACCTCATCACCATCATCATAGTACTCATCATCCTCATGCATGGGGTACTTGTTGGTGCTGTATCTGTTGTTCTCGTAGGCCGCGTCCTGTATCCTGATGTCATCCATGCCGCTGAGGAGTTTTGACACGCTGTGCTTGTCCCGTAGCCTGTCCTTCTCTTTTTGTCTGGCTCTGTACAGGTCCCCCTGCATCCACAACCAGGCTTGCTTCCTACAAGATCACAGTAAGCCAAGTGATTATGAAATGACTGGTCTTTCTTCAAGTGCCAAAATAAAAGGATTTGCATTAACATAGATGTTGCGTTTACAAGCAAGTTTAATATCTGTATTGCTGTTTAAATTGGCTGTACATAAGTACCACACATTTTGAAAATATTAAACATGCGATGTACTTGTTAAGGATAAACACATCTTGTGTTGGCATCACATAAACAAAAGTGACTCTACAAAAAATCAACTCTACTGTAGCCTTAAAATGCTCAAAGAACAAGGCATTTAGGTTATTTATTCGTAAACTTATCTGAACTGTGTTAAATTTGCCAAGAGTGAAAAGATTGTAACGTAAAATTAGTGTTCAAAAAGACCACTCACTCTTCCAAGAAGTTCTGCTGAGGCCCAATGATAGACCCTGGACGGCATATTCTTATCCATCCAATCAGCTCTGCTGCTGTGAACTTGTAATGCTTCATGATATAACAGCCTATGAGACAGCCTGTGCGCCCAAGACCAGCTGAAAGGAATAAAACCATTTTAATATCTATTTTTCCTTTCCAGACACATCTAATCTTTATTCAGGTCTTACCTTGAAATACCATAGTGTAATATGACTGTGAAAGATTTACATGAGAATAACACAGGATTAAGTCACATCTTGGCCCCGATTTCACTAAACTGACCCAAATTAGCCAAAACAGATGGAAGACAAAACCTCTTGTTCAATATAAAGTAGCACACACACAAAAAAAACCCTGTTCAGCAGTTAGCTTTAAAACAAATGTGTGAGATAGTTCCAGCAATGACACGGACAGACACTTGTTATTAGAATATATTATATATCACTGTATGCAAAGATGGCACAGTCCAAAAGGCCACTGAGACTGTCTGTCCATCTGAGGGTATAGATTTTCTGTTTATTAACTGTAGGCTTACCTTTGCAGTGCACAGCAATAGCACCTTCAGCATTCTCAGCAATCTCTAAAAACCTCTTGACTATGTCATCACTAGGGGTGCTGCCATCCACAAAGAAGAGATCATGGTGGTCAAAACCTGCATCTGTGAACCGCCTGGCGTCGTAGATTTTCTTGTTCAGCCGCACTATGGTGGTTACGTTGCGTTTCCTGAAGTAGGGGAAGTAGGCCTCCGGGGCGTGGAGCGGGTAGCCTGGAAGTGAATTCTTAAAATATAACACTTCACAATATTAAAAAAAAAAAAAAAATTACTCTTTCCTTTAGCAAAGAATAGATCAAAAGCAAGAATCAAAACATTCAAATTGAACATTCCAATGCATATGGACACTTTTCATAAATTACTTTTGACAATTATCATATACAACAAATACATGCTTGTGCATATATGTAACATGCGTGTGCACACATACATGTGAATAAATAATATCAAATGCTTAAGACTGGAACTACATGAATCATCACTCAAGTTGATAGAAAACAGCCTTTAAGCAAAAAACTTCTAGTTATAAATACAACACAGCAATGCAGTCTTCAGTTAGTTTTCTTTACATCACACTTCCAAAGAACATACTCTTATTTATTTTTTTTCTTGAAAAAACTTGAAAATTCAATGTTAGAGCATATACTTTGACTGAAATATGTCTATGCTATTTTCAAAAACTGATCTTAAAGGACAGTAAGTTTACTAAAGAAGTTCAATTATTTACCTACAACACTTCGTTTTGCATATATACTATAATTTTGTGTAAATATCTACATAATAAAATTACTATCTCAAAAAGACTTGTGCCGCACATAAATAAGCATCAGCAAAATAACATCAAAAAGTGCATTTTTTATGTTGTTGTTTATTCTGCACACCAATTCCTACCATTCTCAATCTTGCTTTTTGGATGTGGTCCACAGAATGCAAGAAATTTGTCAGGCAAAATCCAGTTTAAGTCGCCATTTTCTACTCGCTGCATGAAGAGAATCAAAGAATTCCATGCTTTTATTCACCGTTTATAATCTAAATATAATAATTCACCAACCACAGACAACTGCAAAACTTGAATTCAGCCAGATGTATCTTTTTTCTTTGAATTTTCAAAAAATGTTTGAGATGCATGAAACAGATCTGCCTCTCTATGCCCAAGAAGCGGTTGTCTATGCTTAGCTACATGCATGCATTCACAACTACACTGAAATGTGGCCAGTGTCTTTGTGAAATGAGTGAAAGGTTGGGCATTCGCCCAGTCACCAAGTCCTACCATTTTCAATCTTGCTTTTGGCATGAGGTCCACAGAAGGCCAGAAATTTGTCAGGCAAAATCCAGTTGAAGTCTCCATTTTCTACTTTCTGTAAAACCAGTTCATCATCAGAAAACTCTGATAACCTCATAAATAAGTCATCTTCCTTTTTCACTCCATTTCAAATTATAGTATATAAATGAGGCAATTTGCAAAGATTTATATAATTGACATATGGCTTTAAACAATTCAAAGACTAAATATTTAATATATGAAACACAATAATAGCACTATACAGCAGTTNAAAATGTGACTAGCAAAGGTCTTCAGGCCCAAGGAACTTCAAAGTCACAACTTGAAAATGCCAAAATGTAAACAAGACAGCACTGTTCTGAAATGTTTTTTTTTTTTTCGTTTTTAACAATTTTTTTAACATAAAACAAAATTAACAGTTTACTGCCATTTTTATATGATCAACTAAGAAAATTGATGAGATGGGAAAAATATCAATAAAGCAGTGTTAAATGTCCAATTTCTTCCATTCTGAGATTCTGAACATAGTGAATGATTGAATCTGACGAACTGCAATGATATGAGTTTATTTCCATTTTTGACACTTTATTACACAATACATAATAACAAGTTTACCATCATTTTTACAAAATCAACTAACAATGTTGTAAAGATGCAGGAAATGTCAAACAAAAACTTTTACGTATCTTAGTAGTTTAATAATGAGACTGTTAACATGCCTAAGAATTGAATCTGAGGAAATGTGAAAAATATGCTGAAAAGTGAAAAAACAGCATAACTTCTACAATAATGGCCCGATCATGCTGATTTTCGAACTTGACCTGCGTTTTATGAATATTCATAAGCTCTGTAAATATAAAGCCAAAAAGTAAAACTGCCCTCCACTTATCGTGTTTACAAGGAAAGTGCACGGCGCCGGCATCGGCATCAGCATCGGCATCGGCATCGGCGACGGCATCGGCGACGACAGACGCAGGTGATGGCAATATGTACAGACACATCTGTGTCTGTACATAAAAAAGGGAAAATTTTAAATTATAATCTTATTAATAGTTCTTCTTCTGTTAAATGATAATAATCCACTCACGCCAATGTCCCTGTGGTTGCAGACCTTGGGTGTTGTCGTAGGAGTTTCAGCTGGTTGAGACGGTCCCCCTGGGTCATAATCTTACCACTTCTGGTGGCAGGACGACCTTCATACTGCAAACAAACAGTTGCCAGGGTGACAGTTGGTCTACAAATACTTTTTTGTAAAATATGCTGTTGTCAACAATGCAAATAAGGTTATACTCAATTTTATGCAATGGGCGTAAATGTATAACTATTTTTGTAAGTAGTGCATCATTTTCTGATGACATGTAATGATATAAAACTTGGCAAAAAAAAAAAAAAAGTAAAATACAATTGTGACAAAAGTTTTAAACAAGGAGTTCCATTTAGGAGAAGTCTTCCCTATTCAAATCTTGAAACACATTTATTTATTATCCTGGTAGAAACCCACCTCATCACCATCATCATAGTACTCATCATCCTCATGCATGGGGTACTTGTTGGTGCTGTATCTGTTGTTCTCGTAGGCCGCGTCCTGTATCCTGATGTCATCCATGCCGCTGAGGAGTTTTGACACGCTGTGCTTGTCCCGTAGCCTGTCCTTCTCTTTTTGTCTGGCTCTGTACAGGTCCCCCTGCATCCACAACCAGGCTTGCTTCCTACAAGATCACAGTAATCCAAGTGATTATGAAATGACTGGTCTTTCTTCAAGTGCCAAAATAAAAGGATTTGCATTAATAGAGATGCTGCGTTTACAAGCATGTTTAATATCTGTATTGCTGTTTAAATTGGCTGTACACAAGTACCACACATTTTGAAAATATTAAACATGCGATGTACTTGTTAAGGTTAAACACATCTTGTGTTGGCATCACATAAACAAAAGTGACTCTACAAAAAATCAACTCTACTGTAGCCTTAAAATGCTCAAAGAACAAGGCACTTAGGTATTAATTCGTAAACTTAACTGAACTGTGTTAAACAATTTGCCAAGAGTGAAAAGATTGTAACGTAAAATTAGTGTTCAAAAAGACCACTCACTCTTCCAAGAAGTTCTGCTGAGGCCCAATGATAGACCCTGGACGGCATATTCTTATCCATCCAATCAGCTCTGCTGCTGTGAACTTGTAATGCTTCATGATATAACAGCCTATGAGACAGCCTGTGCGCCCAAGACCAGCTGAAAAGAATTAAACCATATTAATATCTATTTCTTCCTTTCCAGACACATCTTATTTAATCTTTATTCAGGTCTTTCCTTAAAATACCATAGTGTAATAGGACTGTGAAAGATTTACATGAAAATAACACAGGATTAAGTCACATCTTGCCTCCGATTTCACTAAACTGACCAAAATTAGCCAAAACAGATGGAAGACAGAACCTCCTGTTCAATATAAAGTAACAACACACACACACACACACAAAAAAAAAAAAAAAAAAAAAAAAAAAAAAACTGTTCAGCATTAACTTTAAAACAAATGTGTGAGATGGCTCCAGCAATGACATGAACAGGCACTTGTAATTAGAATACATTATATACCACTGTATGCAAAGATGGCACAGTCCACATTCCAAAAGGCCACTGAGACTGTCCGTCCATCCCAGGGCATAGGTTTTCTATTTATTCACTATAGGCTTACCTTTGCAGTGCACAGCAATAGCACCTTCAGCATTCTCAGCAATCTCTAAAAACCTCTTGACTATGTCATCACTAGGGGTGCTGCCATCCACAAAGAAGAGATCATGGTGGTCGAAACCTGCATCTGTGAACCGCCTGGCATCATAGATTTTCTTGTTCAGCCGTACTATGGTGGTTACGTTGCGTTTCCTGAAGTAGGGGAAGTAGGCCTCCGGGGCGTGGAGCGGGTAGCCTGGAAGTGAATATTTAAAATTTGACATTTCACAATACAAAAAAAAATTACTCTTTTCTTTAGCAAAGTATAATCAAAAGCAAGAATCAAAACATTCAAATTGAACATCACAATACATATCAACACTTTTCATTCTGACACATTCATTTTGACAATTATCATATACAACAAATACATGCCAATCTGAATGCAAATATGTAACATGCGTGTGCACACATACAAGTGAATAAATAATATCAAATGCTTAAGACTGGAACTACATGTATCATCACTCAAGTTGATAGAAAATAGCCTTTAAGCAAAAACTTCTAGTTATAAATACAACACAGCAATGCAATCTTCAGTTAGTTTTCTTTACATCACACTTCCAAAGAACATACTCTTAAATTTTTTCATGAAAAAACTAATGTAAGAGCACATTCTACTTTGACTGATATATGTCTATGCTATTTTCAAAAACTTATCTTAAAGGACAGTAAGTTTACTAAAGAAGTTCAATTATTTATCTACAACACTTTGTTTTGCATATAGACTATAATTTTGTGTAAGTATCTACCTAATAAAATTACTATCTCAAAAAGACTTGTGCTGCACATAAATAAGCATCATCAAAAAAACATCAATAAGTGCATTTTTTATGTTGTTGTTAATTCTACACACCAATTCCTACCATTCTCAATCTTGCTTTTTGGATGTGGTCCACAGAATGCAAGAAATTTGTCAGGCAAAATCCAGTTTAAGTCGCCATTTTCTACTCGCTGCATGAAGAGAATCAAAGAATTCCATGCTTTTATTCACCATTTATAATCTAAATATAATAATTCACCAACCACAGACAACTGCAAAAATTGAATTCAGCCAGATGTATCTTTTTTCTTTGGATTTTCAAAAAGTGTTTGAGATGCATGAAACAGAAATGCCTCTCTATGCCCAAGAAGCAGTTGTCTATGCTTAGCTACATGCATGCATTCACAACTACACTGAAATGTGGCCAGTGTCTTTGTGAAATGAGTAAAAGGTTGGGCATTCGCCCAGTCACCAAGTCCTACCATTTTCAATCTTGCTTTTGGCATGAGGTCCACAGAAGGCCAGAAATTTGTCAGGCAAAATCCAGTTGAAGTCTCCATTTTCTACTTTCTGTAAAACCAGTTCATCATCAGAAAACTCTGATAACCTCATAAATAAGTCATCTTCCTTTTTCACTCCATTTCAAATTATAGTATATAAATGAGGCAATTTGCAAAGATTTATATAATTGACATATGGCTTTAAACAATTCAAAGACTAAATATTTAATATATGAAACACAATAATAGCACTATACAGCAGTTATAATATTAATAAAAAGCTATAGAAAGTTTAATCTTTAATCTCCAATTCAGAACATTTCCACAAAGAATCATTCAGAATCCTACACAAAAATCAACAGCCAGACTGTATTCATAAATGACTTGCAGTGTTGAAATAAAACAAAAATGAATAAAATATGAGAACTAATCTAATTCAGTGCATTTGGGCAATGCTCAGTCGATACATATTATTGATTTACAACACCATCAATCCATTCAATCCAATTAAAGGTCAGCAAGGTCAATTTGGTTTATGTTCTCACAGCTGCTAGGAGTTAATGAAACAAGTTAAATTTTGTTATAATTATTACATCCATTAACATCAAAGCGATTGATGCGTCTGATAAGGAGCATATCAACAGAACTACAAAACCCAGTTAGTTCAGTGATTTCTTACCAGCCCTCAAATTCAAATACCTTGCAGCATTAATTTCAGCAGTATTAAGTAGACTTGTAGGTGAACTTGTACTGCTGCAGCAGTATTAAAATTTTTCAACATATGTACAACTTCTAAAGTTTGTTCACAATATCATATCATGCATATGGTAAATTAAAAATTTTCACAAGATAAACATAGTAGATAAACAAGATAGTCAGTTGCAACTCACCTCGTAATGCTCATATTCATCTACATCAAATGTTTCAAAGTTAAAAAATCCATTTACTAGAGCCTGCAACAAACCAGAACAAAAGTGCTATTTCCAGTATTCATCAAACAGAACAAGGGAGAAGACTGTGTCAACATTTATATTGATACAATCATAAATCAAAATAAGAATTACTAATTTTTAACTATTACCTGATAACACAATCATATCTTTGTAAGATTTATGCAGTTATTGAGAAATAAAATTAAAAGTCATTTTTTCTTTAATTTGGTTGCCCCATTTGGTAATCCCAATGAATAAGGATCAGAAAGTCTACAGATCACTGGTGAAATATGAGTAGGGAACTGACATTAAGCTTGAAGAAAATTTTCCACGCCCAAATGAACTGATCAAACATTAAAACCTTACCTTATTCAGTCCATGTAGACAGTCAAGCAAGGTAAGATTATAGGTACATGTCCCAAAGGATGCATCTCTGAAAATAAATAAATTTAAAAAATACTCAAATAAAAATGGTAAGTGAGAATTATTGATGCAGTGTTCAGTCTCTTTTATCTAAGGTCATGTTGTTGGTTACTTGTCCAGAAACACGCCCAGCTAAAAGGAACATAAATCCTCTCCCAAGTACCTGTCAAGCACAGGGGGAGTTTTGACAGAAGAGAATAGCATCACTTGGTGGTAGTCTGTTTTTTCCATCCAAAAATCTTTAACTAATGAACTACAGGCTTTTTACTTGCTTGTCAATAAATGTCTACTTGCACTACCCATTCCTATCCAAGGGGAAAATCAAATAAATGAAAAAACAAAATTATATAACCATAAAATTGATAATTTGGCTAAGGATAAGGCTACAACAATAACAACAACTAAGTTATAATAATGATAAAGTAATTAATAAAATATTAATGAGAATAGTAATAAAAAATGAATAATTAAAAAGTTTTTATTCACTTTTTCTCTGGGGAGGGGGGGGGCAGTGCAGGTCATAACGATGCTTATTTTTACGTCTTGGGAAAGAGTTGTAGACCTCAGGAAAAGTGTTTTTCTCCCCTACTTTTTATGATGTCTTTTCCCTGCACTGTACTTCTAACCTAGGCCCAAAATATTTTCTATCCTAGTTCTAACCATAATTTTTTACAATTCTAGAACCTCCTTCCAATAAACTTCCTCGGGATGCCCTTCTTCTGCAGTGACACCATCTTGAATTTGCTGTTCAAAATTTGATCTGAGATTTTTTCACATAGCTTGCATCTTTTCTCTTTAAATAAAAGTGCTTTAATCATTTAAAAATTCTAAAACGGCACCGGATGCCTTTTATACAAACAACAGTTTTAATCCTATCAGAGATTCAATTGAGAGTGTTATTTGGATTACACTTTGTTCCTGAAGCTGACATTGAGGCTTATCAATGTTTGTTAGGTACATAGTTACAACACAGGCCAGTTTAGCAACTTTAAATGTAAAACTAAGCCACCTAATAGAATCGAAAAGGGACGGGGTTTTTAAACTGGTGCCGCAGTGGCATTACTCCAATCATGTATGCAGAGTTATTTGGTCAGAGATCTCGCCAGGCATAAGACCATGGCGGATCAATCATAATTACAAATATTAAGCAGAATATAATCATTCCTTTTAACCATACACTTCTAACTTCATTTCTGAAAAGCCTTCAACCTGGATATACACTTGTGTTGTTATGGGGCCTTTCATTCATCACTATAGCCTTTGCTCACTATTCATCAACCCTCAATGCACTGGTTTACAAAAGCTGGCATATCAGTCCTTTCCTTTAGATATAATTGTTGTTCTGGCCTGTAATAATATGGCCAACAGTTAGTTAGTCTACTTCTGCATGCATGGGTAAGAGACCATATCAGCCTCTGAAGAGAACCTCACTTCAGTATATTCATGTCTGTGCACAGAACACAAATTTCCCTGCTAAAGGCTGTCAACAATCCAACAATGTCATGCACTGCTGATAAAAATAAATACATGAATACAAAACCTTTAAAAAAGTTGTCAAAATGCCACTGCATGTCAAATAAATTAATTTTATAAACGATACTAAACTTCACTATCAGCATGACTAGGTATGAAAGAACAGTTTAAATAACCTAGACAGTTTCTTGTAATAAGTATTTTGATAACATTTAAAATGCCCTTTTCTGCTGATCATAATTACCTTTCAAGACAACGTTGAGAACAACTCAAGTTAACTAAAAGCCCCTGGGTTAATACCCCTTAGTTTCCAATTCACTCATGATAATAACAAATGAAAATATGTCTAGATACCCTAGTGCAGCTTTCCAATTCTGGAGGTTAAGTGAAATTTATAATAATACTTAACCTTGATTAACTTTTTGAAAGTATAAAAAAAAATTGCCCACACTGCCGCTTGCAGAGAGATTTTCAGCAGTTTATCTTTTCCAGTATAAGCCATCTTAAAAACTGAATATGGCACATTATTGGCAATATACAGAATTTGTCATGCATCATATGAATATGTAATCTGTTGGGTAGAGTAAAAGAGAAAGATGTATAACACTTAGTTAGGTGACCAGTACAACAGGCAGAGCTTAGAGAAAAGACAAATAGGAGATTGAGAAGGCTGGGGATCAATTCAGACATTGTCAGGAACTGGGCACAGTGGCAGAACCCTTTCATAGCTGCCACTCTTTGATGATGACAATGAAGCAGTAACTAAGCACTGACAACATTACAGCGTTTGACACTCGCACTCGCCAGCTCGCCAATGCGAGTTAAAATTAAATCTGGCGAGTGAAAATTATGGTGCAAGTCGCCATTTTGGCGATTTATGTCAACTTACTGTCAGTTTATCGGCAAAATTTAGACTCAATTAAGTCCGACTCGTAAGCCAACATTTACAGGGAAGTTCATGGGATTACCCTTACTGCTAACCTCGTTTTCACTCTCATACTCGTGATTGGTTGAAGTTGGGGAATTCCGTAATGACGTATTCACAGTCTCGCTGTCGTTTTTGAAAGCATCTAGCCTTCGTTTGCGCGCCGGATTTTGACGAAGTATAGGAAATGCTGTCTGTTACGTCTTGCGATTTTGCGCAGTTGACGCTTCCGGGAGAAAACGTGATGCATCAAGCTGCATGGAGAAGTTTTTAAAAATTTCAAAACGCCAAGTAGAAGAGACTGAGAGCGTCGCAGAATCGGCTTCAACTTCAAGTGGTAAGTAAACAAAATCAAAGCAGAAACGAACTAAAAGTCTGAGCTCTTTGACGCAACGCATGTTTTTGACGTTTTCTGATTTTTTTTCCTGAGCGGAACAAAAAAAGAAAAAGGGGGGGGGGTTAAATGCGTGCGACGTGCAACGTGTGTAGGGTAAGAGAACTTGAATTACCTAGCGCACGCTATTACAGTACAGTGCAATACTATACAAATAATACAAAATAATGAATTTTATTTCAACTCGGATACAATTGAATCTTTTAACAATCTCGTTAGGTTTTCAGCAGTTCACCGACTGCATCTCCGTCAGAGCGACTTACAGAGTTCACCCTGAATATCACAAATTCTCTAATAATGATAGTGCTTAATTTAACCTCATTTTAATATTTATTTTGAAACGAGTATTTCTATATATATATATATATATTTATTAAGACCCCATATCTGAATGGTCTACTTGTTTGTCCCAATTGTTGATTTTAACGTTAAATGTTTAGCTCTTTATCACATGTACCAGTTATTGATTATGTCTGACTCAGTGATTGTGTTGGCAGTCTTTAATAAACTTGACACTTAAAAATTGCAGGTACCAAACCAAAAACACCAAAAATTGAAAAAAGGCTATATTTGCCAAAGTGGGAGGTCGGAAGACCTTGGCTAAGGTACCAAAATGGGATCATGTTTTGCAGTTGGTGCAGAAAGTTCAAAGAAGAGATCAGGCAAAAACTACAATTATCACCATTAATGATTGATGGATCTTCCAGCTTCAAGTTAGAAACGATCAAGATACACGAGAGGAGCAAGGGTCACCTTATTTCTTCTGAAATGTATCTTAACTTAATTGAAAAACCAGCTGCTGCTCCTGCTCTGAAAGCACATCTAAACATGACCAAACAAGTCAGAGACAAAATGAATATTAAATTTAGAAATATTCATGCTGTATTAAAGAACAGAAAATCTTTCCGAGATTACATGTGGCTTTGTGATCTGGATGAAGCCAAAGGGCTGGAACCAGGAGAAACGTATAGAAATCAGAAAGCAGCTAAAAACTTTGCCCAGTCAATCTGTGACACTGAGAGGAAAAAGCGAGCAGATTTGATGAAGAATTGTTTTTTCACGATAATAAGCGATGGTTCAACTGACTGTTCCATAACAGAACAAGAAATTGTCTATGTCAGATATGCCAAATGTGGTCAGGTACATGTTGACTTTGTTGGCCTTGGGACACCTTCTTGTCCAGATGCAGATGGAATTTTTCAGTGTATTCTTAAAGTCCTCAAAACTTACATCAGTTGTGACAGTGACAAGGTGAAAACAAGCTTAGTGGGATTTGGATGTGATGGAGCGAGTGTGATGCTGGGAAAATATGGGGGTGTAGCCTCTAAATTTAGGAACATCCAACCTTCCATTGTTGTTGTTCATTGTGTCTCACACAGGTAAAATGTTTTCAGTAATCATAAGGAAACATGACTTAATTCACATATATATATATATATATATATATATATATATATATATATATGATTAAAATTTAATAACAGAAATATTTAACTGTTTTAAAAGTAATTTTCCAGTACTGTCTCCCTTACAAATTTTCAATTATAAATGTGTAATGGTTCATACTTTTTATTCTACCTCATTTCCTCAGACTGGAACTGGCCTACAAAGACAGCATCAAGAAGAATGAGACATATGAAAAAGCAATATCCTTATTGATGGGAGTATACTATTTCTACAAAAATAGTCCTAAGATGAGGCAGTGTCTGCGGAAAATATGCAATATTACAGGCACAGCATGCCTTATTCCTGCCCGAGTTGGTGGTACCCGTTGGATTGGTCATCTCTGGAGAGCAGTTGACGTGTTTTTGAAGATGATGTGTCCTATCTTTGAACAGATGTCTGATGTAGTCAACCAGAAATCAGGCAAAGTAAGAAAGTTTAAAATAATCATTGAACAAGCTTCATCACAGATTGCTAATCACGGTAAATCATTAATTTTCACAGCTATGCGTAACTGATCAGAGCTAATTGTTAAATAATAAACTCTCATAGTCAAAACGTTTTAAAATTTCTTTACAGGAATCCAAGAACAAAGCCAGGGGTTTTCTGAGATGGATGACAACTAGCAGTGTTATTGGTTACCTTTGTCTTCTGAAAGATGTTCTGAAACCTCTACACATACTGTCAAACAAGCTCCAGGCAACTGCACTGATAGTTCCCGAAGTGCCCATTGCATTAGAATGTGCAAAGCTTACACTTGAAGTATTCAAGGACAGGTAAATAGAATTGGATTTCACATGTAATCATGTTCAGGGTGCCACTTTGTTAATAATATAAGGCATGCTTTTGTTTAGTGATTAGCATTTTTTGCTTTCCAATTAAACATATTTCATGATTACTTGCAAATATTATGTGGTGACACAGTTTATAATTTATTATTTAACAGCAATGGTCCAACCCTGGAAAACTATCTGAGAAACACTGCACAGTTCAATGGGGTGAACCTAAATTACCCTGCATCCCCAGAATCACTCACAGATATGAGATATGCGCTTGTAGTTAATATATTGAAGCATATTGATGACAGATTAGAAGACCTGAATAGTGATACCATTGCTGCTACCAAAATTTCTTGCTTCAAACTTTGGCCAGAATACAGCAAGAGAGAAGAGCTGAGGGGTATGTTAACTTCAACACACACATTCTTCAAAAATGTAATATCAGAGTCATGTATTCAAGAAATGTACATAAAAACAAAACTCACTTTTATTATTAACAGTATAAGCATTTTTGTGTAAAAACAGATTTAGTTGAATAGTTTTGTTTTCAATCAGTTTATTTTATTTTCAGTGTTTGGAAACCAGGAGGTGGCTACCCTTGTCCAACACTTTAAGAACATCATTCCTGAGGCATTGCAACAGAATATTGAAGAGGAATGGATTTCATTTAGATCTGCTGTTTATTCAAGGTGATACTTCCATACTATTTACAATTTATGAATGAAATTTTGATGCTTCTGAACCCTCTTTAAAAATTAATATTTTGTTTATAAATAGATAAAATGTATGTGTACTTGAACAATACTAAATTATTTTCAGGTATAAAGATGATGTACATAGTTTGTCATGGCCTCTGGTTTGGAGAGAATACCACTTCCCTGCAGTTCAATCTGTCATTGACATTTGTCTGACTTTGCCGTCTAGCAGTGCCGAAGCTGAGCGGGGCTTCAGTGTTATGAAGAGAACCAAGACAGATGGCCGAGCATGCCTACAATCAACAGCCCTCAATATCTGCATGTCCGTTGATATGCTGACACCTTCTGTAAGAGATTTTGACCCCACACCAGCTGTTGAACATTGGCTTTGTAAGTCAGTTGCTCCAAGGAGGCCACTCTTCATGGAGAATAAGAAGGGTCCTCAGACTAAGGCATATCAGTCTGAGCCATCCATTGATGTGACAACTTCAGAGTCTGCCATTGATGTGACAACTCCCAGTATCCACTCTGAGCCATCCATTGATTTGACAATTTCTGAGTCTTCCATTGATGTGACAACTCCCAGTATCCACTCTGAGCCATCCATTGATTTGACAATTTCTGAGTCCATTGATGTGACAACTCCCAGTTTCCACTCTGAGCCATCCATTGATGTGACAATTTCTCAGTCTTCCACTGATGTGACAACTTCCAGTATCCACTCTGAGCAGGCAGAGATGTCAGACAGTGACAGTGATGAGGGGTTTGATGACTGTTACAGTGATTCAGATGAAGACAATGAAATGACTGAGAAAGATGTGGAGCAGTTTTTAAGACACAATTGATCTATAAATTTCATTAAACAAATTATGTTCATGGAGTACAAGTTCAGAAAATTTTAGAAATATAAGTACAGAAAATTTTATTAAAAATCTAATCAAAGTATCTCTAGGTGAAGTGGGGTAAATAAATATGCATATAGTTCGTTTAATTTAGATTAGAATGTGCAAAATCTGTAGACTAAAGAATAAACACAGTTCTATGTTTGAAAAAGGTTTTAAATTTTTTTCTTTATTTGCATATGATAACATCTCCATCATGAGTCATTACCACATGGCATGCACTTTGAATATTTGGCCAGTAACTTCGTAATAAAGCTGGCCAAAGTCTGGCTTGTGCATTTTCGTTTTGGCCAGTAACTTTCAGAGCACACTGGCCAAATTGGCCTGTGCTATTTCAAACGAAGGTCAAACACTGGACCAGGTGGAATTAAAACTCCAAAATGGATCTTCATAGTTTCTTTTATGGCCCACACAGCATGGTAAATTTTCACAATATTTCTGCATAGTTGTATAGTATAGATAATTTCTGATGGCGAGGTGGTTAAACCACTTAAAATGGTTTGAAAGTAAAGCAAAGACTGATTTTTTTTTCAGGCTCAAACTTTCCAGCAAGTTGTTGACTCAGACTCAGATGAGGGCTCAGATGAGAAGGCTATTGCTGCCATGGGCATTCTCAACACACTGGAAACCATTCTTAATGTGATGGAAGAGCAAAAAGAAGTAAGTACCTAGCTTTTTTTTTTTTTTTTTTTTTTTCCAACCTATAATAATCAATTGAATTCATCATCTTTGCTATCAGAAGGTTAAGAATACAAGTGGTGTGTATTTAGGTTTACATTACCTTTGATTGGTTTAATTTGATTTTTTACTTTTTTCCAGATTTTAAATCAGCTGGAGGGAATTGTTTTAAATGTAATAGGATTAATATTCCATCAAAATATGATTGGTGAGTACACAAAAATAAATTGCCACACGTTTGTTTTAAAGATGTCTTTTCGTGATAATGTGGGAGTTTGTTACAATTTTAAAAATTGCACTTTCAAATTCTTACTTTTTTATTGATTAGGATGAGAGCAAAAATACATTTCTTAGTTGTTTTTTCTTCTTTTTGTTTCTTCAAATGCTGCCTATCTGACTTTATAAGTTATCTGAAATAAGTTTTTCTTGTCCATTTCTTTGCAGAATTTTATGAAGAAGTTTTATCTCTTGTGTATATGTTGACATGTACACAAATCTCACAGCATCTGTGGCAGGTCTTTTATATGGTCTATGAAATATTTCAGAAAGATGGATTTGATTACTTCACAGGTAATATGAATACTTATTTATAAGGCTGTCAATTAGTAAGAGTTATTTAGAAGAGTGATTTGCACTTTATGAAAAGCTTTAGAAGCAGTATGTCAGTGATTTCACATCTGCTTTGGGTTTACATGAGTTAATATTTTCATATCTCTTCCAGACATGATGCCAGCCCTCCACAACTATGTCACAGTAGATCCACAAGCTTTCCTTGCAAATCCCAAGCATTTAGAGATCATCTACAACATGTGTAAAACTGTAAGAAATGCAAAGATTTATTTATTTTTTATTTTTTTATTTTTTTTTTTTTTTTGTTATTAGGGCATGATCAAGTACTGCTTGATACTTCCAGTATATTTTGCTTTTACATACCAGTTTGATAGAAAATCAAGCTGTACAATGGCTCATGGTTTATACTTAATCTGTAGTTTAGTAGAATGTAGACATTATTGAACAACCTCTCCAATGTTCTGCCTTGTGTTGTCTAGGTAATGACAGGAGATGCTGGTGAGGATGCAGAGTGCCATGCTGCCAAGCTGCTAGAGGTGATCCTCCTCCAGTACAAAGGACAAGTTGACCCTGTAAGTGTAAATGTGAAAACTAGTTGATCTCTGAGAATTATATATAGATCATCTTTTGCTTGTTGACCATGGTGCTGTATTAATATGAATAGAATTTATTTGCTCCTTGTGGGATCACTGCTGTTTATTGTGTTGTTAGATGATACTGTAGGGCAAGTATTCTTGCATGTTTCCTCATTATTTTGTTGATTATTTTTATCATGTTACAACGCCAACTAGATTAATTTACAAGTTAATACTTTTTATTATTATTATTATTATTATTATTATTATTATTATTGGCATTCAATGTTCAGGTGGTTCCGTCATTTGTGGAGTTGGCTCTTGAGAGATTAACAAGAAAAGTGAGGACCTCGGAATTGAGAACAATGTGTCTGCAGGTTGTCATTGCTGCACTCTATTACAATCCTCAGGCCTTGCTAGACATGCTGGACAAGATGCGTTTACCAAATATCACAGATTCCATCACAGCACAGTTTGTGAAACAGTGGTTACACGACTGTGATTGTTTCCTTGGGTAAGAGACTGAACTAGTGTAATTATGTCCGTTAGTTGCACAATAATTTTAGGAATTGGATGTCAACAATTGAATAAAGCTGAATGGCATTTGACATCTTTTGTCATTTCTCAGTAAATAACAATGTTAATTGTCAACCCCTATTATTACATATTGGTCAGAGTACAGTAATAGTGTAATTTCTTTAAATATTTATTACCTGTTTTTATTCTTTTGTCTACAGTCTTCATGACAGAAAAATCAGTGTCCTTGGTCTTTGTACGTTAATGGACACACCCTCTACTCGCCCAGCTGCCATCAATGAGAATGCCTCACAGATCCTCCCCTCCGCTCTGCTGCTCTTTGCAGGTCTAAAAAGGGCTTATGCAAGTGAGTTTGACACACTGTGTCTCACGTGTTTGGTTTTTTCATAGATTGACATTGAATATCATTTAGAGAATTAAAATTGATTTTGATATTTTTTATCAGATGGAGTATAGAATAAAAGAGACAAGTGCAGCTGGTGAGAAATTGAAGTGATTATTTGGTAATGAAGAATTTATTCTTTTCCTTAGGTCGAGCAGCAGCTGACAATGAAGAGGGTGATGATGAAGATGAAGAATACGAGGAAGGTAAGAAAGATTTGAAATACACATTAAGAAATTGAGCAGGATTTTTATTCAGTTAACTGAAAGTGGAAATCCTTTTCCTTGCTGACATTTTTTAATAATATAATTGACTATATTTGCTCAAGTTGTCTTGCATTCAATCTGTATTTCCAACTTTATTGTAGATGAATTAGGGAGTGATGAAGATGAAATTGATGAAGAAGGTGCTGAATATTTAGAAAAATTGGAGAGATCGGTGGGTTGAAAAGTTGACTACAAAACTTTAGAAAGTGGAATGATAGAGACCTGCTTTTTGTTTGCAGATATTAAAAAATCAAATACCAAGTATCACATAACATATAAAGTCAATGGATGTGATTGAAATATTGAAATATCCAGATATCATGGCTGCTGATGTGCTGTAAAGATCTACCATAGTAGTGAACGTGATAAGGTAATTAGAAAGATAGGATAATTTCTTAAATATGGATACAGTTTGTGCCACATCCAATAAAAAATTGTAAAGGAACTTAGAAAAGCTGAAACAGAGTAGTGTTATTACCCATATGCTTTATTTGGTATTTCTAGGCAAATGGAGATGATGACAGTGATGACGAATATGACGACGAGGCAGAAGAAACTGCATTAGAAAGTTACAGGACACCTTTAGATGATGATGACTGCACAGTAGATGAATATCAGGTCTTTAAAACTGTACTACAAAGTAAGTATTTTATAATGTTAAGATCTCCATCTTTATCAAGTTAATTATGAGATGGCTTTTAAAACAGATTTCCAAATAAATTGAGATCCTTGAGCTGTCGGTGATTAATTGATTATTTTCATGTCTTAGGCTTACAAAGCAGGGATCCCAGCTGGTACAGCTCCCTAACTAGTCAATTAACACAGGAACAACAACAGGAATTAAATGAAGTCTTTACATATGCTGAACAGAGGAAGGCTGTCCAGGGTAAATCAGTTTTTTTTTCTTTTTTTTTTTTGCTTATAAAACCAATTAAACCATGTGTTTGTACATGCTCATTCAAAGTAGAGTGTCGTAAAACAGGTAGGGAGACATTTGTGTTTTAAATTAAGAAGCCATACTTTTATTCACAACATGAATTTTAAAGGTACAAATGTGATAGGGAGTTTTTTAAATGTAAATTATTTAAGGCAATGTTTTCCAATATTAACAGATTTGATGAGGTTTTTCTATTTGATGTTACAGATTCAANGTGTTTCCATTCTCGGCTGACTGAGGAAAGGTTTGAGAGAGCATTTAAAGAAGAGGCGGTCGAACCAATAGTGAGTAGGAAGTGTGCTGCAATCAAGACGAACAATACCGATCATAAGTGGACAGCTAATAACCCCTAATTAACCCCGGGTTACGCGCTGCTGTGTTGACTCCTTGCTGGGAAGGGGTAGCGGCCTCCTACTGCTGTGCGTAATCAAACATTGTCTTCTAACATGCGGCTACACGACGGTTGCATTGTATTAATAAAGTAATACCTATTCATAAGGAAGGGGGCGGATGGTAATCTTACGAGAATTAAATCAGTTATCGATCATACGCGTACCAATAGTCTTGTTTTTTTTTAGCTATACGGCACTATGGCTAAGAAGTCCCCGGTCACTTTAATAGCACACGCTGTCTACAACTGACGCGCTAGTGCGCAGGCCCCCGACGGTGTTAATGATAGGGGGATTACGATGGACAGCGCATGTTGCTCACAGCGGTAGGCACTGCCGCCGAAGTTAAACCGGTAATTAAGTCATTTACTTAACCAAACATGTTAAGCTTCGTATCACGCGTCTTTCAATCTTGCTCTTGCGAAAGTCGCGTCGGATGTCGATATTTTTCCGACAATTTTTCGAACTGCGGGGCAAAACGTCGTAATACCTGATATTTTTTAATTTCTCATTTACCTTATTGTGGGGTCTCTTACGTTTGTACCACATGTATTCTTGATAGCGGGAATACTGTATTTCTTGGGCTAAACGTAAATGCTAACCAAAATAAAAAAAGGTAAAAGTGCAAAGCGACATGAAAGAGTAGAAGGCAATTAGTAAATTCTTAAGCAGTTTCTACCACACTAGTACTTTGATAATACTGCGTCCTAGGATAGGATGTTGAAGGGTTGCCTACAGATATACCGTTAAAAAGACCTTAGAAATTATTGTACTTTGTTGGGCAGTTTTTCTTTAATTTATTGTTTCTTAAACAATTTTCATTTTTGACAGAGGTCGGAGGGGGTGAAAAATATATACTCAAAATCATGACTTTTTGATAACTCACTTTCAACTCTACATTAAACAATGGTAAAAAACTAAAACGGAGAAAAGCAATTTTAAGACAAAAACAGCAATTTCTTCTCAATATTTTATTTGTCTAAATAAATGTCATTTCTACGAATCATTCTTGTAAATTACAAAATAATAATAAAAAAAACATGCTTTGCGCTCTTTACGCTGCTGGTTCCCCTCTTGAAACACTCCACACGTGACGCAAGTTGTGAAGTTGATATGTTCATTTCTGACAGAAAGCAGTCAATAAAATTGCCCAAAACATCTGTAACACTGGCCGGACAGACCATTTTGCATAATAATTTTGGTCCCTCCTTCACTATAAACTGAGCCACACAACAGTCAAATTCCTGCTTAAATCAAGACGGCTACTCCAGCACACTTTCCCGCCATTTTGCATTAATTTGACACATGTAGTCGTACGTGTAGTCTAAAATAACAACGAAGTACTGATTGGCTTAAAAACCGGAAGCTAGAGGAGATGAACCAAGCGTTTACCTTGGCACAAATGGCCTTCGTTAAACTTGTAGGCAGTCATGTGACGTGAGAGTGCCGTGAAACTTATTACGAGTTTTCGCATTTATGTTATTCCGATTGAACAGTATGATTAGTCGGAGGTCGGTGAATAAAAGGAAATTATTTTTGGTTTAAATTTCATTTATTTTGTTGTTTTTTGGGCATTTAAAAATCGGCTCACTGACTCACTTAGCCAAAGTTATGCCTGGGTTGCATCACAGTTAGCGGGAAACTGGACCTGCACTATTATAGACCACAATACCGTGACGTATCACCGACTCGTTGACAAAGGTATCATTTACAAGAAATCAGTAAATCAATGTGAATTACTTCTTAAACATCCGATTCTAACCAGGGCAAAGGGTTGCGTCGCAGCGTAACAGAGGACGATTCAATAGCCCACAATTAAGCGGGATCATATATCACGCCTCTTTTCACACATGATTGTGTTGCCGTAAGGCGAGAAACACCCCGCCGTCACCCTATTTGCATAAGCCCACCCCTTCTTACTCATCGCTGCATGTGTGTAAGATGTACGGAAGATGTGAGTAAGGTGTACGTAAGTCGGCATTGCCCTTTAGCCTACGGATTTTCACACAATTCTTTTGTCCTCTTAAGGGGCGTACGTAAGACAACTTAATTGTTTTTGAAGTAAGCATATCCGTAATGTCATCTTCTCTGCACAAAACTGTGTGTATACATTGTTTGCACACCATTGTTCTGACACCCCGTCTCGTTTTCTTGCACAGGACTGAGGTAAACAACATTACTTATCTATAGAAGTCCCATCTTAATCGTCCATCCAACTGGAACTTCTTTTACTTCTTAGTTGGGGGGGGGGGGGGGTTAAGTGCCTTTAAACTTTCAGGTGTCTTTTGTTTTGAGTTTGTCGAATACACTTTCGCTGACGATATGTGTCTCTGATAAAAATCTACCTGTACGTTATTTTCAAAGCGCAGTTCCAGCAGACCTGAGGGCAGTAGATAAAATCTGAACATCGGGCTTAATAAGGAGCCAGAAAAACAAAGGAAGATTTTTCCTGCAAAGCTTCAAGGAATTATGACACCGTCTTGATCCAGTATAGCCCTCCAAACTAACAAGTTAACATGGATAATTTTCGCAAACAAATAAATGTAATTAGATAGATCGGAGATCTATCCTGTCATATAATTTCATCTCATTTGTTGCTCAGGTCTTCTGGGAATTTTGAAAATCTGTCAATGCAATGATTACGCCCCTGAATTATTACAAAAGTTTCCAAAGTGAGACGTAACCCCATGACAATGGAGTAAAGCTTCACATTTTTTTATATTGTCACCTTTTTGCAGAAAAAACATGCATTGTATTGATGGCATCACACAAAGCATTAGAACATACAAAAGTCCATAAAAATCATAACACGTTTACTGCTAGTCGGGAAAACAGCAAATATCACATGTCGTATACACTTATCACAAATATATTAAAGGGATAATAACTCTTCGTTTCGGCAAAAAAATGAATTTTCCTGGAGTAAACAACAATTTTCCCATACTTACTAATGGTTAATGAATCCATTTTTACATTCAAAGTTAGTCCCTGGTTTTTTTCTAAAACGTTTGGTTTTTTGTTAAAATCTCTTAAGAGATTTTAACAGAGTATAGCCTTCAATGGAGGTCACGTGGTCTAAAGACAAGCTCGGATATCAGAATAAGAGCTATAACTGCCGTTTTTGTGGTAAAAAAGAATGTATTATATTTCTGTGAGTTCTTCACAATGTTTTTATTGTGAAATATAGATCTCATACGAAGAGTTATTATCCCTTTAATAAACAAAATTGTAGACCTGTGGCATATACGTTTTTTTTTTATTTCTTTTTCCAAAAATAAAAGGAAGAAAAATATTAACTTCACATTCATTGCATGCACAATATTGCAAAACCTTACACTAAGCTTTAATCTAGACGCTTGACAGGTAAGTTTGGCATGTCAGTTTACGGGCTTAACTTAAATGGCAGGTGCAAGTTTCATTCAAAGACTGTACCAAAATTAAGATCTTGGAGATAAATTGCACGCCTAAATTCAAACTGAACAGTATTTAAACCCTACATCGCGACTTCGAATATCATATGGGTGCATCTCATCAGACTGTACCTTTAGTGATTTAGGGTAGAGAAGTTAAGAAGAAGAAGTAAGATGTCTGCTCGCCAGCAAGCTAAAATAGGTAAGTAAATGAGCATATCGTGATTCGTATGATTGTTGATCGTACATCGTACTGGTACATATATATATATATATATCCTTTCCCCCAAACTGGTCGCGTGGCGTATTAAGGATGAATAATAAAGGATCGGGATTACATGTATAATTACGTCCCTTGGTCAGCCCCCTAATGGACGGCCCACAGAGTTAAGTAAAGGTCAAGTTAAGTTAAGTAAAGGTTCCCCACTGTGTGACATACCAATAAATATAAATAATAGAATAATTGATTATGTTAATGAGAATAAATATTTAGGCTTAAAGGTTAATAAATTGAAATTGAAAAATTTCTCTGGATACGATGAAGGTTTGAACATGCACATTTGGCTACTTGTGCAAACCTGTGAAATATGACACAACGGACATAAACACGATTGAATGGTATAGCGCTTTCGTAATGTATGAAACAGGTCACTGTGTATAAGAAGCATTTCTTAGTCCGCCCCTGGATATTACTTTGTAATTAGATAGTTTTCTGTGTCTATACTTCAGATAAGTCAGGATTCACTCATTTTCCATTTTTTACGGTTTATATATATTTTACTCAGACACATTCGTGATAATTTCAGACACATGCCGGTACGCAATCGTAGAATGGGAAGACGGTGGAATAACTGGTATCAAGGCTGCGGATCTTATATGTGATCAGAAGGTTGCCAAAGGTGTTCGGGTTTCATTTTTATGGCCCCACGAATCCGGTGTGGATGTTGAGACGTTCGGAACAGTGATCTACACAACAAGTGAGTATAAGTATGGGTTACCACCAAAACAGATCATTTAACGTACAATTATATATAAGAAAGCAGTTGATATATATATATATATATACTAAATAACGGAGATATATCGTTCAGATTCCAGATTAATTGTAATAAACGCTGTTTTGGTGGAAAATGGAATTAATTAGAATTTTATTAGGCGTTTTTATTATTATTTGAGAATATGATTTCCAAACAACCCGTTGCTAGCCCTTTAAAAACTGGAAAATAAGTCTGTGTCAAATCTTACAGGGATATTTTTTAAATAAGAGATTATAATTTTTTATGTAATTATTTGCAACATCTTTTAATATTTACGATTGTCTAAATGGTTTTTCTTTTCTTTTTCAGATTGCTACAGGGACCAGATGAGGAAAGAGAGAGAACTAGCACAGAAAAATGACAATAGTAGCTCTGACGAGGAAGAGGAGGAGGATGGAGTAGGACAAGAGGAGGAGGCAGAGGAGGAGGAGGAGATGCCAGAGGAAAGAAAGAAACAGGATGAGGCAGGGGAGATGCAGGGTTCCACACCTGACGAGACTGAGACGCCCAACAGGAAACGAAAGAACAGAAGAAAAAGTGGGACAGTGAAGAGGAAAAAAAGAGAGGTTAACATTTTTTCAATTGCAGCGTTAGTGTCTTGTTCAATAGTTTACAGAAATAAATTGTACAAAGAAAAGAAGAGAAAGGGAACAGAAGTTTATAATTTCTTAAATTGCACTTTTTCAAGCGGTATATTGCTTTATTGTCAAAATGTTTAATGTTGAAATATTACAGATAAGAATTTGCATAATAAGTAAATTCATGCTTTTTGATAAGACTGCGATCATCGCTTGCCTGGGTAAAAATGAAATAATGATAATAATAATTATATTAATAATATTATTATTAATGATAATATTAATTTATTTGTATATATATATATTTTAATAGGCTGCCATGATGATTGGCGAGGCAGAGCCCGGAAACAGGGATCCGCTACCCCAACAACCTCCACCTCTTCGGTGTGAATGCCGGGAAGCAATTGCCGACATTAAAGCCGAGCTTCAAGAAATCAAAAGCTGTGTGATGGATTTAAAAAGGATGCTCTTGGAGCAAAGAGACAATGAAGCACCCCCACCGAGGCCAGTTTCCCCACCCCTGTCTTTTGCTCCAACGTCTTTTTCTACACCCCAGTCTTCTCGGCCACGTGCCAGAATCCAACCATCCCCACCTG